TCCCTCTCTTTCCCTCGGCTCTCCCTGAGTGCCTCCTGGGAGCAGCTCCACACACACCACCAGCCGGCCGGCCATGCGTGGCACAGATTTTTGTTTTATCTTGTTTTGTTTTTTCAATCAAGCGGAGGCCAGCTTGGAGTCCCATTTCCCCTGGGATGGTGGAAACGTGAGTTTCGGGCCCTGGAGGGCCGCCCCCTGCCCCCTGCCTGGCCTTGAGAAGTCTCTGGGCCCTGTGCTCCCCCCATCACCCCCCGGCCTCCTTGCTTCTTCTCCTCGGGTGGGCCCCTTGCCCACTAGGGCTGGGAAATGGGGACACTCTTCTCTGGTCTCCTTCCAGGTCCTTCTGGCCGAGGCCACCTGGCACCTGCCGACCCTTGCCTGCCCTGGCCCGAGCTCCTTACTTGCACCTGTAAGTACCTCGTGACCGTGTTGTCAGCCTTTCTGCTGGAGACCGGGGGGCAGGGGTCCGAGTCTACCTCTTATGGACTTGTCCCAGGCCCTAGAGCCATGCCCGGCCCACCATCAGATCAGAGTAAGAAGCCAGGTAGCAAACCTCAGCCCGCCGCTGTGCTGCGCACAGGCCGTTTCACGCTCACACTGACCCTCTGCACGTGGGTCCTGGTGCTACACAAATATCCACGTACAGCATACAATGGGTCACTTAGGATGAGTATTCATAGGCCTGATGCTGGACTCAGGTCTGGGGGTTCCAGTCACTATGGACACTGCCTTCTCTGAGCCTACAGACTCTTAACACACACAACACGTTTCCACACACACCCACCTCTCCCCATCTGTCCTCCTACCTATGCATCCGTTTGTCTAGCCATCCACGATTTCTATACCTATACTTAAACCTCTACACATCTATCTGTCGGACCTATCATCTTTCTATCCATCCATCCACCACACAACCAGACACACACACACACACACACACACACACACACACACACACACACACACACACACACACACACCCCTCAGTCCCTGAATGTACTTGCATCTGCCTTGCCAGGCCAGCCTACCCCCTGCATCTGCTCGAGCCCTCGGATGGGCCGCCCCAGGTCCATCCTGCTGCCCTGGGGAGAGCTCCCTGCCTGGCTACCCTGGCTGTGTTCCCTCTTTGCTGGCCCCAGTGCCTTCCAGCGGGGGTAGGCTTCCTTCTCAAAGAATTTCTCCTCAGTGCCCGTTTCTTGCCTGTCAACATCACAGAGACCATCAACCCCAAGCCATGTAACATGGCCAACCCAAAGGTCCCCTCTGCCCCCCGTTGGAGGTGGTTATTTAGCTGAAGGAGGTGGAGTTACAGAAACTGAAAGGATAAGGCCCTTTACTTCCGATTTCACACCTGCAACAAGGCTGAAGGTGGCAGTAAAGGAAGAGCATGGAGGCTGAGAGAGGGGCCTCCACCCTGGCCTGCCTGCGACGGACACAGTCCTCCTTCCGGTACCAGCTCAGCCAGCACAGCACCCACTGGCCTGGGTCCTGGACCGTAGGTGACCGACATGATGGCACCTGGGGGACAGGGGCTTCTGAGGGTGGCCCCAGGTGGGGGCCTCCTTTGGATGGATTAAAATAGCAACATGTGACTTCAATCACATCTTTAGGTTATAATAAACTTCTGAAGTCAACCTCATTCCTGGGAGGGAGGCACCTCCACTTTTCTGGTGCAGAAACTGTCTTGTGGAAAACAAAAGTAAAGCCATTTTGTTTGTTTGATGTTAAGGCCTTTAAGGTTGTTTCTGGTTTGGGTCCTCCCTCCTCCTGACTCCAGCCTGCCTGGACCAGGCGTCTGTGGGGCACATTCTCTCCATGGGGCCTCAACACTGGGCTCCAAATGCCTCTCCTTTACAAGTGCACAGCGTGGGCCACCTGACAGAGCCGCTGAGCCCAGCCCTGTGCCTGTGTGCAAGCATGTACACGTGTGCATGCGTGCATGTGTGTGCTCACACACGCATGCACACGCCAAATGCGTCAGAGAAACAGCAGGCAGGAATGCAGGGGTTGGACGGGATGTGGGCTGTGCCTGGGGGTCCCTTCCGGGCCTGTGTAGGGGTGGGTGGGGCTGAGGCCACAGGAAGAACCTGCTCCCCAGGACAGTGTGGGAGACACTGCTTCTCACCTACTTTATTTCCTGTTTGAACACATGTGAAATAAAAACTGTTAGGTCCCCATGAGGTTGAGCACGTTTCCCGGAGTTGAAACCCTCCCAAACTGCCTGTCCTGGAGATGTGGGCCCCATCCTTCCCCAGTCGACCCCTGCACAGAGTGGGTCCGCATGCCCAGGACCGACACCCCTGTCTTTTGTCTGCCCCGCTTCATGGGTGGAGCTCCTGAGGAGGGTGGTCTTTCCTTCATGGGCCCCCAGGCCCACCTGGCCCCCTCACTGTCCCTGGGTTCCCTGAACCCCCTCTTGGGATCTCTGGAGGGGCTTCCCTGGGAGCCAGGGGACCTGATGCTGCCCAAGTCAGAGGGTGGAAGGTGTCAACGGAGGCCCTCCTGCTTTAGGACTGGATTTTTTGACCCACATCATCCCTGGGGGGTCCGGAGAACGGACACTCTCCCCTGTGGTCAGCAAGGCCTTGCTCTGTGCCCTGGGGATTGGGTCCAGTCCCTGGCTCCTGCCACAGGGAAGGACTCGAGGGCCCTATGGCTCTGCCGGTGCATGTCCCCAAACCTCCCTGCAAACCCCCGGCTGAGCCAGTTTCTGCCTGGAGAGGGCTCTTGGTGGGAGCTGGGGGCTTCAGAGTTCACGACAGAGCAGAGGCTGAGTAATGAGGAGGCTGGGGCTACACAGGGACCTCAAGGGGGTCTCGGAGCGGGGGCCAGCAAAGTGAGTCCACAGACTGGGGCAGGGCTACAGCTGTGAGGCTAGGGCTGCGGCTGGGGGTCGGGTTGCACCTGGTCCCCAAGAGCGCTCATGGAATCTCAGCGCACTCTTCATGGGGCTGCCGTGATGAGAAAGGGCACTGTTCCCGGGCCCTGAGTGGGCCTTTCAGGGCTCATGAGCAGGGCCCGGGGACCCCATGGCCCCAACAAAGTCCTGGGGGATGGGCGCAAGGTGTCATCAGGTCCACTGGGCCCAGGGAGACACCTGTTTCTTTTGCGAAGAGCTTGAAAGCCACTCTCCGGGGAGCCTATCCGCCTATGACCCTGGGCACCTTTGGTGATCCAGCCCCACTGGGTGAGGCCGGCCACTCACTGATGTGTCAGGAGGGAGCTCTGGGTGTTCCACCTCGGTGAAGGGCCGGGTGGGGCTCAGGAGAGGAGGCGGTTTTCCAGGCTGGGGTGGGAGGAGATTCAAGGTCAAGGAACCGGCAGGGCCATGACCCGGAAGGACCCCCAAAATTACCGGGGGTCCTTCACCTTCGGCATGAGGGGCAAGGTCTGCAGGAATGGGGAGGCCCGTCGGGGAAGACCTGCTTCCTGGGACAGGCTGTGCTGGGAGTGCTGAGAAACTTGTGGGTCCCAACAAGGGAGGATGGTGAGGCCCGCACGAGGGGCAGGAGGGGACTGGGTGGGGACAGAGTGTGGCCTTGGGGGTGGGACCCTGACAGCCCTGGATCTGTGTTTCTGCATCAACGCCTGTTGAAGCCACTGCAGGGCAGGCACCTTCCTCTAGGGACAGGGAACCTGAGATGGGCTCCAGGGTGGGAACTTAGGCTGGTTGGATTCAGCTGAAATGTCAGTTTGTTATTCTTTGATGGAATTCAGGACCACAGCACAGCCTGGCCCGGGCAGGGCTGCCAGCGTGGGCTCTTCCTGCAGGGCAGGGCTGGCCTGATCGCGCCGCCCACCTGGAGCCTGTGAGGAAGGAAGATGAGCACCAGAGAGGCTCCTAGTTGCTGGTGAACACAGGGAGATCTACAGGGACTCAGGACAGAATCTCAGAGACCCAGACCCTGCCCGGTCCCAACAGGCCCCCTGCTGTGGTTGCTCTGGAGCCCATGTTGTGCCCCATGCTCTGCTCCCAGCCTGGGCTGTGGCCCTGGACCTCACCCCTTGGGCCTCCCCAAGTCCTCCCAGCCCCTCCCTCAGGCCCTGGAGGACACTGGAGCGTGTGTCATTTGGACACTACTCTAGTGTGTGGTTGCTCTTTTCAGACACACCCATAGCTGGGGATGAGAGGTCCCCTTGGACCTTGGTTTGGGGAGGGAAATAGGCTCTGGTCCATGTTAACCTAACTAGTATTTTGCTCTTAAAATTCCAGAGTCATATTTGAAGCCAGTCCAAGTCCTTCCTGCCGTTGGTGGCTCTAAGATTCAGGGCGCATCTGAGAACACCCAAGTGAGGTGGCCTGTGGTGCCCTGACTTGGGGGTGGGCAGGAGGCCGGGCAGCCCCCACCCACCGAGCCTGCTTGGCAGAGGGGCTGGGACCCGGTGTCGCCCAGTGGGGAGGAGCGTACCTTCTGCTGGGCAGCGCCAGAATGTGCGCGTGGGGCGGCGAATCCCCCACTTCGGGCCCCTACCCCCTGGATCACCCCTCCTGACTCCCTGGCCCCCGAGGGGATCTCCACTCGGCCTCGGGTTGGGCTGTGTGTGCAGGCACCCTTGTTCTGGCCAGGTATGAGCGCACAGTGGGCCTTCAGGGGCTTGTCCAGAGATTCACCCCAAGAGTCGGCGATCCCAGCTGCGGCGCCATCATTCAAGCACTAGGAACGCTTCGCTACGACAGGGCTCTTTGCGAGGAAGGGGCAGGTCCAATCTGCAAGGCGAGCTGGGCAGACGTTGGGAGGAAAGAGGGAGGCATCCAGGGTGGGTGGGGACGAGGCTTCAGCGGGCGGTTGGGGCCCTGGGCCTCCTTGGGGCCTCTGACCCCCGGCTGGCCGATGTGCACAAGGGGAGGGTCCCCCGCGGTGGTTGGGGTCGGCTTCTGGGACGAGAGCAAGCAGCCCTCAGCCTGCGCTCCTTGACCCGGCTGGGCAGTGAAGGCAGCGCTCAGTCAGTGTGGTGGGAGCGGGTCGTGCAGGCCCCCGGGGAGGCAGCCAGAGGAGGAGATGCCACCTGGCCGGGCACCCACCGTGTCCCTGCAGCTGCCCCATGGAGAAGACCCCATGGGGCAGCCAGGAGGAGACGATGGGACGGGGCCGTGGGTGGGGTGACTTCCAGAAGAGTCCCAAGGTCCAGGTTGGAGATGGAGGGGAGAGCAGGAGTGGCAGGTGGCCTCACAGCATCACATCATGCCCCATGGGTCCCACACTAGAAGCCTCAGCTCCCAAGGGGCAGGAGGGCCTGAGGCGGCCGAGCCCCCCAGGTACCCTCAGGGTCGCCCCACGTCTGGCCACCGCTGAGCACTGGCCCGTGGCCTCATAGCCCCCAGGTGAGCAGAGGGCCCCTCGTGGGTGACCGTGATCCTCACCGCACTTGGAGGAGGGCTGAAGGCTGGGAAGGCTGGGGCCTGCCACGCCTCAGCTCCCACCGCAGCCCAGCGCCCCTCCCGCGCGCCTCCCCCAGGCCCCGAGGCGCGGGGGTGGGAAAAGCACCTGGAACAAGTCCCAGGTTGTTCCCAGGAAAGGGAGGTGCGCCCCTCCCTGATTCATGAGACGGGAACCCTGCCCAGGACACCCACCCCTGTCCAGGACGTTCCCACTGCACAGCGCACTTCACAGGCATCTGGCTCAAATAACTGGCTGATAGCGTGAATAAATTAGAGACGGAACTCTCGGGAAGGCAGGGCCACCGCAGTCCATTCCAATGCAGTGTACACGGCGGGGGCTGTGGCTCCCTGGGATTCAAAGTCATCCCAGAGGGAAGGGCTGCGGGGCCGCCCACACCAGCGCTGCCTCAGTGGCCACACAGCCCGCCAGTGGCGCTCACGCCGGGCTGGTAAGCCGCACGGTGCTGGGCATGGTGGGGCGACAGGCCTGCCTGAAGAGCACAGCTCCGCCAGTGCCCCAGGCCAGCCCCTGAGTGTCCCCCGCTGCCTCTTCGCTGTGTGACCTCGCTGAGTCTCTTACCCCATCTGGGCCTCCATTTCCTCCTCCGGTTCTTGTGAGAACTGAGCAGAGACTGGCCCTGGTGGTGTTGGGAGGATGGCTTACCGGGAAGGTCCAGGACCTTCGGGGTGGGGGACACACAGTGGTCCAGTGGGTGCCCACAGGAAGGTTAGAGGGAGGACAAAATGGGGTGACCACTGGTGAAGGAGCAGGATGGGAGCCAGGCCCGGAGGGGCCAGCAGGGGTAGGAGACCCTGAAACACAGCAGGGAGGGCTGGGGTGGGGAGCCTGAACGCCTGTCCCGGTAGTGGAGTGCTGCAGAGGGACACGCACCTCCCCGAGACCAGGAGAGTCAGGCCCTACTGCCCCGTCCTCAGGACCCCATCGCTGCTGCCTGGTCTATGTCTCCACCAGGGTTGATGGTGGCCCCTCAGAGTCCAGGACAGGCCACAGTCCCAGCCACATGTCCACAGCCCCTCAGACACAGCCAGACACAGGGTCTGCAGGCAGGGATGGCCTCCCTGCCTCCAAACCCACCACCGGCCTCCCTGTCAGACTCCCAGCCCGCTGGCCCTCCAGGGTCTCAGACCCCGCAGCCACTGCTCAGGGCTCTGAGTTCTCCGTGACAACTGGCCTCCCTAGAAGGTGAAACTCAGGGCTTGGGCCCCTCAGGGTCTGTTTCCAGACGCGGCCTCAAACATCCCAGCACAGACGTCTTTCCACAGGGCGGGGGTCACAGGGTAGGTGCATTTAAATTTCTGGTACAGGCGCCAAGTCGCCTTACAAAAGGCTGTTCTGATTCACGCCCCTGCGTATGGTTTGTGAGTGACCCCCTTTTCCTCACCTAACCAGCACTGGTTCTTGTCATTAAGTAGTTTTCAACTTCTCACGTCTATGATTAATACGGAGAATGAATATTTTGTGGTATTCATTAAGGTGTTTTTACATCTTTTTTGTTTTCTCCTTTGCCACTTTGCTGTTGGGTTGTTGGTTTTTTTCTTACTGCTTCGCAGGAATTCTTTATACATGATGAATAACAGCCCTTGTATCTTCCCTGCAAATGTTTGTTCCTAATCTGTTGCTTAATATTTTACCTTACTAATGGTGCTTTTCTTTTTCCATCACATAGCTGTCCTCAAGTTTTATGTTGTCAGATTTGTCAGTGGTTTCCTTTAAAGGCTTTGGATTTTGCATCTTGCCTCCCTTCCCGAGAACGTGCACATATGCTCTTGTATTTTCTTCCAGTGCTTTTGTAATTATGCCTCTAATCTATCTTCGTTTATCTTGGGGTATGGGGTAAGACAGAGTGGAACCGTTCTTCCACGTTAAATCTTAGATATCACGAGCCATGGAGGACACAAATTACAGCATGGGGCCTCGGAGCACAGGCTCTGGAGCAGGGCTTCCTGGGCTAGAATCCATGCCCTGCCCTTCACGGCTGGCGGGGCTCGGGGCGGGTATTGCTGAACCTGTCTGAGCCTCAGTTTCCTCTTCTCCAGATGGTTCTTGTGCGGATTAAGTGAGCACCTGTGTGTGAATGACTCAGGAGTGAGCCAGGTGGTCTGAGGGAGACGGCATCGCGTCCTGGGAGACTCCACAGCCTTCAAGTGGTTCCCGAGCCCGGGGTCCCCACCTCTTCCTGCTGCTTCTACAAGAGAGGGGGTTGAGGGTAGGATCAGGAGGGGGAAGAAAAACCTCAGCCTCCAGGTGACTCTGCCGGAGTGAGACCAGCACCTACGCTCTGCAGGAACCCCCTCACCCTGGTGACCTCAGGACAGAGACAGCCCCGCCAGGCTGCTGCAGGCCTCTAGGGAGAAAACAGTCACAATGTTGTCATGTCCAGCCAGACTTTGACAAAGCCCACGGAGGCCCCGAAAGCTGGAACTGGACATAAGGGGAGTGGTTAAGAAAGGTGAGACGTAGAGGGGCCTGGCCGAGAGGGAGGTGAGGGTGTGAGTCGTGGGGACTGAGTCAGGACCCTCCCCAGACCACCACTGCCGAGAGCATCACCCGGGCAGCCTGGACCACTGAGGGATGGAGCTTGACCAGGAGCCAGGAGCCCCAGGCCCAAACCGCCCTGCTGACCGTGGTGGGACCTCTCTCCCCAGCTCTCCTTGTCTGACGGAGGAGGGGCTGTGCTGGCTGCCCACAGCGCCCTCCCAAGGCCCACCGCCTCAAGGATGGGCACCGAGGGGGCGGAGGGACGGGGGTCCCCAGCCAGACACCAGCTCGGGGAGGTCAGTCTGGGAGCATTGGCAGCAACAGCGGAGGCCCCAAGAACCTGCTGCCAGAATGTGAAGAAACAGCGTGCTCTTTTCAAAACGGGCTTCTTGAATTCTACAGAAGGAGAAAACTATTGAGTTTCCTCCTTTACATTCGAGCCTGCCTCACATTTCCAACTTTATTAATTTTTGTGAGACTTGGGAGGCGAGACGGGCTTCCCCTGCTGCTCCGTGCCTATTAATGTTGCTGAGCTGAGCACAGTTGCAACACTTTCCTGTAAAATGGACTAAAACAGAAGTTGATGTGTTCCTCATATAAGAAATACATAAATCAGTTAAAAATAGTTCTCAGAGCGGATGTGATGATGTAGTGGCTGTCACAGGAAACACATGAATCAGGCTCATCCCCAGTAACAGGAAAGTGGAGGCAGACTCCACAGTCTCTGGGCCGCTCTTCGGGGGCCTTCAGGAAGGCAGATCCCTCAGGCTGCACCCCACACCCAGCCCAGGCAGAGGTTCCCAGCTGCCCTGAGCTGCCTGCACTTTTGCACACGTAGCTAATTGCTGGGTGTTTGTTCCTGGTTCAGATCTTCTTACCAACCACAGGACCTTACCAACGAGTGACACACATGAAAGTGCTTCACAGGTCATCCCTGCCAGGGACCCTGGTCCCTGGGGACAGAGCACAGCTGGTGGATTTTCAGGCTGGTTGGCTTGGTGGGCAGAGCCCATATCCACCTGGGCCTTCACCCTGGTGGGGAATGGTGAGCATTGCCCCAAGAGCCTGGGCACAAGGCCTCTGGTTTCTTGTGAGAGCTCCAGATCTATGTGGACACATGAATAAGCAGAAATTTCACCCCCCGTGCTATACAATTGCCTGAGACCCAGGATGTCAGCATGGGCTCAGCTGCAGTGACAGTAGCAACTGTGGTTCTGCCAGTCAGGGGAGCAGGTGCTGAGGCCACTGCAGCCCCATGAGGCCTGCCGACTGAGGCCGTGGACCTTAGTTTTCGTGCAGTCATTACAGAGAAAGGCTCTGACTCTGGATGCGCGGTGCAGGTTAGAGGGAGTGGACCAGCGTCCTCAAGTGACTTTTGGGGTTGAAGTCCTCTGGGCGTTTTCACAGTATTAGCCTGAGGGCCCTTAGTACTAACCAGCCACAGGCTTCTCACTTACAGGGTAGGGGGTGGAGGGGGAAGAGCCCGGGGAGGATAAGGGCCACCCAACGCCAGCCCATGAGCTGCAGAGCCAGCAGGCAAATCATTTGCCTCGTGAGCCTAAGTCAATGTTGAATGTGAACTTGAGAAAAACTCAGCTCAGAGTTGACGGAAAGGCCAGCAAGCGCTGAGGAAGTCCCACATGCCTTTCACCCCCATTCCCTGGGGCGGGGACACCTCCCCGGGGGCCTGCACTGGGCTGGACCTCCTCCCCAGAGCCCCAGGCCTGAGGCACGTGGCCATGGAGGCGGGTGGGGTTCCAGCTCATCACAGGCAGCGCTCTGGACATCCGGGTCAGCTCGGCGGGAAGGCAGCAGAGGAGGTGAGCTGGCCCAGCTCTGCCTGAGTCAGGGCCTCTCTCTGCCTCCTGGCTGGGTGGGGTCCTCGGGGGACAGGGGCTGGGGGGAGAAGGGAAGGCACCTTGGCTGTGGAGGAGGCATGTTTGGGAACACGCCCTTCCCAGGAAATCCCCAAAACACACACCTGTGGCGTGTCCCCAGATAGTAGCTGCAAAACTCAAAAGCAGTTTTCGTATTTTGGAGCCAGGAAGAGTGGTCTCCCCGAGTCTCAGCAGTTTCATAGGTCCTCAAAAGCTTGTGGACTAGGGCTGCCCTGGTGGCGCATTGAGAGTCCGTCCGCCTGCCGATGCAGGGGACACAGGATCGTGCCCCGGGCCCGGGAG